AGATAAGGATTCCTAGAGAAATTCTTCCTCCCTCCCTGGAGAGCCAGGCCTCCATCTGCCTGTCTCTGGCCTAATTTGGGGACTGAAAGGAACAGGATGCATTTTACTTTTAAATTGTTCCTGAAAGCACATCTTCTGGTTAATATTATATCCTTAATATGTCTCAGGGAGGACACATCCTCTCTGTGAGTAACGTCTAGGATCCTGGGCGGACAAGCCTCCTGTAAACTTGCCATCTTCTTTCTACTGGCCTGCCTTCCCCGGTCCCTTCTCCAATCACCTACTACTTTGAGCTCTCTTTTCCTTTCTGTTCTTTGCTGGTGTTTGTTTTTAAGATACTCACTCTCAGCGTATGAACTGGAGTGGGTTGAATCTTTACGAGACTATCATAATCTTGGTTTCATTTGTTTGTTTTTTAAAGTCCTGCAGACAGCTGCTTGCACCTAGGAGATGATGAACTGACAGAATGGTTGGGAATGGACACATCTCTGCGCGAGGATACGGGAGTTCTCCTTTATTCCACCTGAATGGCTGTAGCAAGGACCCTGAGCGGCGGCTGTCTGGACGTCCACAGCTGCTGTGGTTTAGTAGCTCCCTTCATACGGAATTAAGTTGTAAACCGCTCCAGGAAGAAGGGAGCCGGATGAGTGGGAGAGGTGGGCAGATCTTCCCTCATCTTTTAGGACCCTGGGGGCTTTGTGCAAGCAGACTGGGAAAGAAAAACAAAGAGGAAGGGAAACTGGCTGGCTCTTCGAAGGCGAGTGTCTAGCATACAAGACAATTCTAGGAATTAACAAAGATGACGCATGGTAAGGTGCCTTGTAGGATGCCTGGTGAATGCAGCTGTATCTGATAAATGTGGCTGAACCTGAATTACTTGAAAATAGATACTAGGCTGTGGTCAGGAGGAGAAAGAAAAACCACGACCAACTTCCAAAAGCACTTGGGTTGACCAGCTCCCCTGTAACTATACCACCACCTTGGAGCCTCACAGCGGGCTCTGGGATAGGACTATCATTCTCAGATCACAGATGAGGAACCTAAGGTTTGGAGAGCTTGAGCAGCTTTCCAAAGGCACAAAGTTGAAAAGCGTCAAGGTCAAGTCTTAAAGGCAGATCTTCCAGCTCCAACATTTTATACATTTTCTGGGGCTTTTCAAAGTAGAATCGGCTGATATACAAACTAACATTGTCATTTTTTTTTCTAAAATGATATGAAAAGTTAACCTTTTCTAGTTAGTGGAGAGATTAAAAACTGCAAGGTGACTGCATTATATTTGGGGAAAAGCAAGAAAATGTCCTGGTTCTTTCTGACCCGAGAGCTTAGGAGACCTCAGCAAACCCTAGGGAACCAGGTAACCACCATTTTTAAAGCAGGTGGATCCCATTCCCTGATGAAATAAGTGGCAGAAAAATGCAACAGGACACAGGCTAAGTTCATTAAACAAGTTACCTCATTAACCCTCACACACTAGGTGGTGGTGTTATTTATCCTGTTTTATTAGGGAGAGAACTAAGGTTCAAGGAGGTGAAGCAACTTGGCCAAGCTCCCAGAGGATAAACGGCTAAATTCCAGCCTAACCAGACCTGTCTTGGCTTCCCAGCACCAAGCTGAAGGCTCAGCACGGGGCTCGGCTGGAGATACCCCGTCTGGAGGCTTGAGATGCGCTGGGATTCAGGGGCGCAGGTTCTCTCCAGTGGAGTCCTGACAATTTCCGCTAGAATCTAAGTGTCTGGATGACTCATCCACTGATGTGTGGCACAATCCTCAGTCTTAAAATAACAAACCCCCGTCATGAAAGTCAATGCGTTTCGATGTCGCAGAAATCCTTTTCTAACGATCACTTGGTGTCACTGGCTTATTTAAATGGATACATCACTTCTAACAGGGCTTTTTCCCATCTGCTCTGCCCTCTTAGAAGCAGCCAGAAGGGAAGCAACTCACTGCCTTGGTCTATCAAGTAGGGGCTGCAGAGGGTTTAGGTACCTGTCTGTCTCCTGAAGGAGGGGACATGCCATTTGGGTCATCATAAATTCCCCAGTGTGCTACACTGTTCTTCCTCCTGCAAACCCAGATTGATGACCGGTGGTTTTTGTTTGATGCAGATAACCATGACCCCGATGCTGGGTCCTAGAGGCACTGCAGTTCATCTCCATGTGACATTTTCTATTATTCTATGCTGTGGAAGGCAGGAACTAAACACACGCCAGGGCTCACCTGAGATGCCCCTTCTCCCACCTGATAAGCATGGGTGTCCCGAGCTGTAGGAAAGCCGGGAGTGAATGTGTGGAAACCCAGGCACAGGAGATCAACGTGAGGTGATCACTTGCTGAGCAGAAGCAGCATGGGGGGCCCTCTCACTGGCCCACTGTGGGTTCCTAAAGGGTCCAGCCTCAAATGCGCTGAGAAAACAGATCCTGGGGAAGCTTGCAGGAAGGGGTAATGGGGTGCCACGTTTTATCAGAGCAGACCCTTGGACCTTCTGCTCCAGAAACATCCTGGAGGCTTCCTTTAGGGCAGAATCCTGGACCCCTCCCCAGACCTTTCAAGAGTCTAGGACTCCACATTTAAAAAAAGTATTCTTGATAGAATAGAAGCCACTAAAGTTCAAGCTAGGAAGGTTAGCAGTTAATAGGCTCCTTACTTATCAGACTACATCCTTTCAGTCTCTAAGCTTGAGTTTCCTGGGTATAAAACAGATAAGAATAGCCCCTGCCTCATGAGGTTAGTGTGAGGATCGGATGAGATGAACACCTAGAACGCACCAGGGACAGCACCGGGTCAATACTTAGCTGGCATGCAGAGGCTTACCCATTATTAAAACACCGAAATACCTCTAATCAGCTAAGAAAAGCTGCTGCTCTGAGCCCCTTTGCGCTCCCTCCCTGAACCTGGCCCCTCTCAGGGACTCCCCAGAATTTCCCACCATCCAGCAACTCACGGGTGAATGCCCAGCACAGCCTCCAGGATGCAGCCTGGGTTTGTGAAGGGCTGGTGGTTACCATTCTTCCATTGCAACCCCTGCAGGCTGTGATGCCTGGTAGGTGTTACATCCCGTGCGGCATGCCTGGACGTTCTGGCAAACGTTGGCTAAAGGAATGTCCCCCCAGTTCAAAGGACAGCTTTCAATGAAGGCCTCCCTAACCTCTGGCTGCCCAGGACACTGACCCTGGACCTTTCTTTCCTTGTCTTATTCCAGCTTTGACCCCCCTCTGACCTGATCTCGGAACTTTCACTCTGGAAGCTTGACTCTCAGCCTTTTTCCTGTGGCCTCTGGGGCTCCGTGTTTGCACCTGACCTCTCAGGAATCTGACCCTCAGCTCTCAGAGTTGAGTCTGGCTCTTCCCACTACAGACTGACCTTAGCGTCCAGGACAGGCTACCACCTACCACTTTCAGGTGGCGCCATGCCCAGACCCCTGCCCCAACGCAGTACAGCTGGTCCCAGATGCCAGGTCCCAGCCCTTCTTGGCCGGACCTACCCTACTGCCCCCTGAGCTCCAAGTTCCAGTTCCAGGTAGTGGCAAAGAGGATGCAGGGGAAGAAGCAGAATTCAGAGGCATTTCATAGGTAGACAGTGGCAGGACGTGGGCCTAAGGAGAGGGAGGTTGCTCTAGTTTCATCCTTTATAAGCTCCACGAGGTCATGGGCTGTGTCTGGTGTATTAGCATAGGGCCTAGTGCACAGTAAGCATTAGACAGACAAGAGCTGCACAAAGAATGAATGAATGAATGAATGAATGATGCTGTTAACAGAGACAGAAAGAAAAGAGGAGGTGCACATTTTGGGTTAGCAGCAAGGCAGAAAATGGATTTGATTTCAGACACATGGTGTTTAGGGGCTGTGGTATCCCTAAGTACCAATTACCAAATATTTCTGCCTTTTCTTCTTCCAGGCACATGGTCGGGTTGCACTTGGCCACACTACTCGAAGGGGAGCACGACCGCAGGATATGCTTTAGCCAATTTCATGTTAGCTCCTCGAAAAGACACATGCACCCCAATGTGCACTGTGGCACTATTTACAAGAGCCGAGACACGGGAGCAACGTAAATGTCCCTTGACAGATGAATGGATAAAGATGTGGTACATATATACAATGGAATACTACTCGGCCATAAAAAAGGGATGAAATAATGCCATTTGCAGCAACATGGATGGACCTAGAGATTATCATACTAAGTAAACCAGACAGAAAAAGACAAATATCATATGATATCACTTGTATGTGGAATCTAAAAAAAAATGATACAAATGAACTTACATACAAGACAGAAATAGACCTAGAGACAGAAAACAAATTTATGGTTACCAAAGTGGAAAGGGAGGGGAGGGATAAATTAGGAGTTTGGGATTAACATATACACACTACTATATATAAAATAGATAACCAACAAGGACCTACTGTATAGCACAGGGAACAATATTCAATATTTTCTAATAAACCATGAGGGAAAAGAATCTGAAACAAAAAGATATGTATGCACGTATAACTGAATCACTGCTGTACACCTGAAACTAACACAACACTGTAAATCAACTATACTTCAATTATACGAAAAAAGGGAAAAAACAAAATAACACAAAAAAGAAATTATGTCGCTTCTGACAAGACTTTGAGTCAATACACATCAGTAACTTTGCTCCCCATACAAAGATGAATCTTGAATGCTGAGGATGAACACAGATCCTGGGGACCTAAAGTGGACACGGTGATCTCTAGTCTCTATTAACAGAGCCAAGGAACCTACAGGTCACACTCGTAAAGCTGTCCCGCTGGATCTGGGGCTGACGGTCAGTCCGGAGAGGGGCTTTTTGGTGAGAATGCCACGGACTGCCACGGCCCAGTAGCGACTTTGCCTGTAGCTGCAGCCCTAAGCAAGAACCAGGAGGCCAACGCCTTATGTACCGTCCAGTGCAGAACTCAGGCAACCAGGTGGCCTTCTCCCGTGCTTTGGCCCACCTCCTGTCCCACCCCCAGCAAGCCACCCTCATGACTTACCTGTGTTGTAGCCCCTTCCAAGGGCAGGCCAAGGGCGGTGATTTTTCCACAGGTTTCCGAGGTACCAATCACTCTGGTTCTCTACCAGGCCCAGGACCTGTTGACCTGTGAAGTACAGAGAATGCAAAGGTCTTAAAAGAAGCCAAGCCACGTGGGACAGTGAGTACTGAACGGCAGATACAACAATGGCAAATCATCGTAACACAGGTTTTGTTACTGGGAGCTTTTATGAGGTGCCAAACTCTTATCTAAGCGCTTCACTTGTATTAATATGTTTAATTCTCACACTTAGGCAGCCCAGCCATTTTCATTATCCCTATTTTATAGAAAAGAAATGGAGGTCGCCCAGAGTACTTAATTAACTTGCCCAAGGTCATCCAGTTAATCTGTGACAAAGCCAGAATCCCAAACTATTCATCCGTCCATCTGTCCATCTATCCCTTAACTCACGTGAACACATATTTATTTACTTACATACTCTTCTTCAAATGTTCCAGTTCACTATTTCCCAAGGTATATTAATTGACTGGCTTTTGAGGCAGAAGTTGAGGTAATTTTCTCACTCAGAGAGGAAGAAAGGACCCTTGGTTAATGAGAAGGGAGCCCCCAGAGAAGAGCCACATTCTTGCAGCGTTTTTACTCTCACATCCACTTTGTCTTTTGTCAACAAGCATCACGTCAAGGCAGGCGTGTTTTCTAGAGGAACAATTGCTTCTCTGTCCCCAGAGCTCGGCTTTGACGTGGGCCTCGCCCTCTACTGTACTGAGGCCAACATCAAAGGCGAGTCAGGTCTCTCAATCAATTTCTTAGCAGCTTTAGCACCTCAGGTGAGTCCTCCACTCACCCCAATTTCTTAGAGTGTTAATGTTTCCGGACTCAGGTCTTCTAGGTGGGGCAGGCAGCCATCAGAATCAACTATCTTCTATTAGACAACTCTATCATGCCATGTGCAGAAGGTGTTCCCTTGCAACTACTATCAACAGCACTTTACAAACTAGGAAAACTGAGGACCGTGATTTGTATAACTTGCGTATCCTGGAGCCAGGATATGAATCTATAGTTATCTGACATCCGGATTCTTTCCACTGTCTCTGCATCACTGCTTACCTTTACAACAAACATTTGAGGCAGAAATTATAAGTCCACATTTTACAGGATGAGATACTGAGACTCGGAAATGTAAGTAACTTGCTAAAGGTCACAGGACTAATGGGCACTGTCTTCCACAGCTAACCGATGTCTTCTGGAGCTAAAATCCTTATATTGTCTGAGAAATAAAGCTCTTTCTGACCAAATGGAAGCCTAGCAGCCCGTGAAGAAAGCACGACGGTTCTCCTGGAATACCACGCTGGGCGACATAGAACCTCTGTGGTGTGATGACAGCTCCCTGAAATGATGGTGTGTGGGTTTGGTGTAATTTATTTGATCAATTTATCGAGCTCCCATCTAAATCACTGCCCCAGCACAAATACATAAATTAGCGGCATAGGAAAAACACTACCACCCACTGTGTCATTGTATATAATCACAACCAAAACGTGTAGAATCCCTCAGAAAAACAGGTCACCAATTCAGAAAGTGCAAGAGCTAATCAATTCCACATGCTACAAGCTTGGGACGTTCGTGCACAACAGATCTGAAAGGCGCGTTGCCCTCAGCCGAGCAAGCTGTGTGCTGAGTCCTGATGCTGTAACCTTGTTGGAGAGCCTGTTTAATAGCCTCACTCCGAGGCTGGGACTCAAAGGGCATGTGGGGTCCTTGGGGGAGCTGGTTCGTTATTACTAATGACCCCTGGTTGGCGTCACCATGGTTTTCTTTGGCATGATGAAAGAGGGGTGTCATGTGCTCAGAACCGATAAAGGGGAATGACGTTTCACTGAGTTTAGGGTGGCCATCTGAATTTCAGGAGAGGTAATCTTCAGCTATCTGAAAGTCCAAATTCCACTTTCGGACATGCCATGAATTGTATTCTGCCTCGACCTACTCTTCAGATGAATTTTCTAACAGCCACACGAAAATGCATAGCTTTACTGCTTGTGTCCTCATCTCCACGTCTTGCTCGTACAGCTCTCGCCAGCCTTGCCCCCTGCCACTCCCTACCAGCAATCCTTTCAGGCCCATCTCTGGCAAGAAGCAGACTGTGAATTCCCGCATTAGATGGGGGACATCTCGACTTAGCGCTTCCTCCCGGTATTTTTGCCATCGGCTGACTTATGTCCTGTCAAGGACAGAATGGGTGATGTTCAAGCACACACGCCTCATCTGTAAATGTCCACCTCTCCATTTGTCCAAGGGCAAGGAGTGCATAATATCTAACACACTAATAGGCATGAATAAATGTCTGCTAAATAAATGACATCTGGTGTGTAAATCTCTCCTGAATGGAGACCACTTATGTTACTGTATTAGTGTCCCCACATTTCTGAGGTTGCAAAGCATTTCATCCTCTCCCCACTCGCCAACATCAACATATTCTCTCACTCAGCTCTGGGAACTCTGGCGTCTTCCTCAGTTGCATGGAAAACTGCAAAGATGGGGGTGGCAACACCTGAAAGCATCTTTTATATGGGTTGCTCTACTGGAGCCTTCAACTCAAGGGCTTCATCTTCAGAGAAGGAGTAATTTGCATGGTTAACCTTAAGCCATGTTATCTCAAAGGATAACATCCAAATTCTCCTTCTGTCACTTTGCACCTGGGCTGCATATCCTTTGATGGTGGCAAGCGGCCCTTTCACATATGCCCGTCCTCTTTAAGGTTAAGAAAACAAAATCCTTAATTAGCAACACGATAGCTGTAATTTTAATATCCACTGGTTGAGAAGGCAAAATAATAAACAGCTACTAAGATTTCATTTTGCTTTTTTAGATGAATTCATTAGCTGCTTTGTCGATGATTAAAGCGACAGCTGGGCTTTGCAAGTGGGCTTGTGAATACCCTGGGCTAACTGCCTTCACCCCTGCAGAGGTCTGTGTCCGTGGACCGGAAACCACGTGCAGCAGTGTAGCCAGAGGGGAAGGCTGGGGCCAGGCTGCCTGGTTCCTATTTCTAGCTCTGCCACTTTTTAGCTGTGTAGCCTTGAAGAAATTACTTAACCTCTCTGTGCCCCAGTATCTAACTGCTGTGACTTCACATGTTTAAATGACTTCATATGTGTTAAGGGCTAACCACAGGGGCTGGGGCACATTAAAAACTATATAAGTAATAGCTCTTCTTAAATATCATCATTCAAGCTCATCGGTCAGCTTCTGAAAGACAGTGAGCCCATCCAAATGGTTTTCTTTTCGAAGGCCCTCTAGCACAACAATTAAGTCCTTCTAGAAGTTTGTTTCTTTAAGTGTGGTCTGAGGACCAACTGCTACATAAACACCTGGGCTTCTTGTTAAGAGTGCAGATTCCCAGGCCTCAACTGTGACGTTAACTGTGACCGGAAGGCTGCTTCCCTCTACATCTTTCGTTTTGTGAAGGAGGGATTTCCCGGCTTCTTACCCCAATCCTTCCTCTTCCCCAAGGGCAGGGAAGGAGCTACCTGGCCTGGTGAGTTTCAGAGAGAACCGAGCTCAGGTGGCCTAGCTATTCCTTCATCTTCCTCCTAGGAGCCAGTGTGCCAGCAGAGCTCCACCTTGGATCGGTTGTACAGGGCAGGTCCCCTCCGGATGAGGCTGCAGTCGCCCCACACTTCCTGTGACAGGGTGGGCGATTCCAGCTCCGGGGTTGGTATTATGAATATCCGCCGTAGATGCGCATCTAAGTCAAAACCTCCAATTTCACTTTTATCAGCAAAATAAGGTGACATTTTGCTCTCCTTTGTCTTATCTCTCAGGATCTGGGAGTATGGGGGTAATATCACATACTAATTCCCTCATCACATAACACTTCTAAATAAGAACTCTGGCCACTGGGTCTAGTAACCTGCATTAAAAAAAAATCCTCCAGGTAATCCGGATGCACACTAAAATCTGAGAATTACTGATCAGGGTCTGGGAGCTCTGTCCTGGCTTTGGTTATCAGTGAGGTTCCCTTGCACGGCCCCTAGCAAACAATAAAACTCACGTGGTGTCTCAATCTAGCGCATCAACCAGCAGAGTTCAGTGGCCGCCTCGGGTGACGCTTCTTGAGTACAGTAACGTGGTGAAGAAAGTGTATGAGAGCCAGACTGCCTGCTTTCCAATCCCGGCTCCTCACCCAGGTGCTAGCTGTGTGACTTTAGACAAATTACTCAACCTCTCTGTGCCTGTTTCTTCATTCATTTATAACATGGCATTGACAAAAGTACACACCTCAGAATTGAACATTTTTTTTTCTCTAGGCACAAGTTAATTTGTGAAAATGAAGCTGTGTTCTTTGCTTATTCAAACATCACCACTAACAACGCCCAGAAAATAGTAAAATGTTCAGTAGGTATCTACTCTTGTCATCATACCCAGAATTCCCTGGCCCAATATTCTGCCCCATTGGCCTGGGTTCGGTGTCTTCGGTCTTAGCGGTTCCCTCCCTTCCTTAGCTGACACGATCCTTACCCTACCTACACTTTCGTTCAGTTTGATGTTGATTGAGGGTTTGCTTTGTGTCAGATACCACACAAAATACTAAGGAATCAAAGACAGATAAAACATAGCCTGCACCCTAGAGGCAGCTGGAAGGAGACAGGTAAACAATTATGAAGCAGCGCGGTACATGCAATGACAGAAACGCTGATACGTAGGAGGAATGGAGGGCAGGGAATAGTGGATTCTATGGGGAGAGCGCGTGATGCCCGTTTCCTGTCTACTGCAGCCCCTGCCACACTGCAGGCCACACCTGCCCCTTCCACACAGACCTCCAAGCTCCCAGGCTTCCCCCAAAGCTTTTCGGGTAGCACTGCTGTCCTGGAACACTGTTCTGGGCATAGCCGTCCTCAGGTCCCCGGTGACAGCACACATGAGACAGCTTATTTTCACAGCTCTGGCAATCCCAGCTCACCAGCCAGGTGGCAACTACAGCCTGGTCTCCAGAGGTCAAAGTCTAAAGTCTTAATCTTGATGATGCAAACCCATCCTGGGCTTGCTATCCCATGAAGGCGTACAACCCCAGGGATTCCTCTTGGGGAGATGACGCGGGATGCTGG